CAACCTCAAAGAAAAGCTAATATTTCAGTTTGAATCCAAGGGCAGAAAAAGGGGTGGGTATAGTCTGCCTGGGTTCCGTTCCCCAATGCCCCACAAAAAATTATGGTATTTTATTTTGCTCTTCCCTGTGGGATAAGTACAGGCATACACCACACAATGTGGTTCCAGTCATGTGACTCATGGTGTGTATCATGCGGCCTAGGTGTGTGGTGGGCTGGATCACCTGGGTTTGTGTGAGTATACAATGTCCGCACAACAATCAGTCACCTGCAACACACTTTCCCCTGTTAAACAGTGTATGGCTATACTCTCATTATTTGCTGTCTTAGCTCAGGGTACCCCAAAATATCATAGACTGGAGGCTCTCACAAATCTGGAGGCCGGAAGTCCAGGCTCGGGGTCCCGGATGGTCAGGTTCTTGGTGAAGGGTATTGTCGTGGTTTATAATGGCCACATCCTTGCTGTATCTTCAACAGGCAGAGTGACAGGGACAATTTCCGGTATCTCTTCTTTTGTTTGTTTGGTTTTTTTTTTCTGGTACCGGGAACCGAACTCACGACCTTGTGCTTGCCAGGCAGGCTCTGTGCCGCTGAGCTAAATCCCCAGCCCTCTGGTATCTCTTCTTACAAGGACACCAATCCTATTCATGAGCTCTCCACTTTTTTTTTTTTTTTTAGGTTTTTTTGTTTTTTTTGGTACTAGGAATTGAACTCAAAACTCTGCTAGCCAGGCAGGTGCTGTTCCACTGAGCTGTATTCCCAGCCCTTCTTTAGTTTTTTGAGAGAGGGTCTAACTGTGTAGTCCAAGCTATTTTTTAACTCACTGTGTATCCCCAGTTGGCCTTGAACTCATGGCACTCCTCCTGCCTCAGCTTCCCGAGTGTTGGGATCACAGGCGTGTGCCACCACACCCAGGCCAGCGACTGCACTTCACTTTCATGATCTAATTAGCACTACCTAACCCTGCCACACTGAGGATCAGGGCTTTAACATTTGAACTTTGGAAAGATACCGATATTCACTCCATCCCCACTCCTGTTTACAGATGAGGAAAAAAGAACCTAGGGCTGAAGCAGTGCATACATTTTCAGGGCCCTTCCTGAAACCCCAAGTTAAGACCTGCTGCTGGAGAGCAGGGGCCTAGGACTGCGCTGAAGCTGTGAGGACACAGGGCCTGGCAGTGGACACTCACTGAATGAGTATGTTTTGTTTTGTTTTTTGTCTTTTTGAGACAAGATCTCACTATGCAGCTCAGGCTGGCCTGGAACTTGCAATGATCCTCCTGTCTCAGCCTCCCGAGGGCTGGGATTACAGGCATGTGCCACCACACCCAGCTAGCTCTGTGTGTAGCATTTTTTTTTTTTTTTTTTTTTTTTTTTTTGTCTTTTTGAGACAAGGTCTCGCTATGCAATTCAGGCTGGCCTTGAGCTCACTTCGCAGCCCAGGCATTAAATGAGTAAGTGACCCCTGAACACCCCTGAAGCCTGGTGCAGAAAGGACACGGGAGGGATGTGCCTATCAGCTGCTCACAGACAAGAGCATCAGCCATGGATTCCTGTTCTCCAAGAGAAGCGCATGGGGGTCCCCAGTGACAGACGTGGATGTAAGATGTCCACATCATAGTTCGGTGGCCATGCCTTATAGGTGCCACACCTGGGACAGAACATGCCTCTTGCCTCTTTCTTCAATGTGTGACGTCAACCAGGTTACTTAACTGTTTTGCTTTTGTTCCTCACTAGAGAT